GGTGAAAGCCTTCGGGAAGCCAACTAACCGATGTATCTTCTCTCCCTAGATGAAAGCGAAAGTAAACGTGGGGGCATGGAATGTCCGCACCGTGTTTGAACCCAGCAAGGCAGCCCAGATTGCAAACGAAATGAAGGGGTATCACATAGAATTGCTTGGAATTTGCGAGAGCAGATGGAATGGAAGTGGACTTTCCAAACTGTCAACTGGAGAATCAATAATCTACTCAGATATTGTCACCCAGACGACAACCACGAGCACACTGAGATTTGGAGTGGCTATCATGATATCCCCAACAGCATGAATGCCAAACAGGGAGCGAACAACACAGGAAGAGAACTCATCCATCATGGGTCGAGAAGCACTCGGTGAGGTGATGAACGAGAATGGAGAATTGTTTGCAGAATTCTGTGCATTCAACGATTTGGTGATTGGAGTGGGGCAGTGTGTTCAAGCACAAGGATATCCACAAAGCGAGCAACATGGATTTCACAAGACACTAGGATACACTAAAAATCAGATCGACTCTATCTCAATGTGAAGAAAGTGTAGACACAGCCAGCCTACTTGACACAAGATCAGATCAACACGGGGGAGCAGATGTAGGTCCAGACCACTCACATTACTATGTAGTGCAAGGAACCTTCCAAATCAAGTTGAAAGCCTTCAAGGAAGCTGGTGATAGACCACAGTTCAAGTACAACACCCAGAATGGAAACTGAAGGATGAAACTACAAAGGAAATCTTCACGGCAGCCAGCCATCAAGACAAAATGGGAGATGTCGAGGAACATCCCTGAAGAAACCTGTGTGGAAGAACACTGGAAGTCTTCGAAAGAGATGTGGAAAGAAACCTGCACAGCCGTATTAGGACGGAAGCAGAAAAAAGACAAGGAATGGATCTCGATGGATACATAGAAGCTGATAGAGGAGAGGAGGATGGTGAATCAGAAGATAAACCAGTGCAGTGCAAGGATGCTCAACGACAAGAGGAACTGAGTACAATCTAAAAACACTTGACAAGGAAGTGAAGAAGAGTGCACGGAAAGACAAAAGACACTTCTACGAAACACTGGCAAGTGAAGCAGAACAGGCTGCCGCAGGTAGGAGACACAGAGACCTGACAACATTGCATCAAATAACCAGGTTGCTATCTGGGAGGGAAGAGATCAACGAAGACGAAACCAATAAAAGATGATGACGGAAATTTAATTAAGAAGGAAGAGAAACAAAGGAAACGATGAGCCGACCACTTCAAGAAGCTCTTGAATCGACCACCACCACCACCTGCACTTCGTCCAGAAATACCACCTACAGCCCAGCCACAGAACTACAAGTGGACATAAATCCTCCAACAAAAATGGAAGTCCTGAACGCCAAAAAGCTACTGAAATGTGGGAAAGCAACAGGACCAGACGGGATCCCACCAGAAGCACTGAGAACAGACGCGGTGACAACAGCGGACATGCTCACACCACACCACTATTGCAGAAGGTGTGGAAGGAAGAGAAGGTACCTGGCTAGTGATTGGAAGAAGGGTTACCTTGTCAAACTGCCGAAGAAGGGAGATATACCTCTATGCTTGCAAGAACTGGTATAGGATCACGCTGCTGTCCACCCAGAGCAAGCAAAATATTAGGCCGCATCATACTGGAGATGGAGACTAAAGGATGTGCTGGATTCAAAACTACGACCGGAGCAGGCAGGCTGGCTTCAGGAGGTACAAATCATGTGCAGACCAAATTGCAACGCCACACCACGCATCATCATAGAACAGAGTATAGAATGGCAGTCCAGTTAACTCTCTACCTCAACTTTATCGACTTTGAGAAGGCCTTTGACAGCGTCGACCGAGAGGTAATTTGGAAACTGCTTCAATACTACGGAATACCGCAAACCTTTATCAATCTCATTCAACAACTATATGAAGACACCACATGCCAGCCAAGTAATTGACAATGGGAAGCTCAGTGATGCTTTCGAAGTGAAGACAGGAATGAGTGAAACAAGGTTGCCTACTATCACCAATGATATTCTTGATTGTAGTGGACTGGACTGGATCATGCAGCAGACAACAGTGGAGAGCGAGAAGAGGGGGATAAGCTGGCTGGACTGCGGAAAAGAACCTATAAGACTTGGATTTCGCCAGTGATGACTTGTGTCTGATGTCACACAAACTTGAAGATGTACAGGTGAAAACTAACAAGTTGGCAGAAGAGGCGAGGCAGGGCAGCGAAGACGGGACTTCAGGTGAATATAGAGAAGACAGAGGTGATGAAGATACACAACCAACAACAACAACAACAACAAATTCCAATCATCATCAACGGGAGAAACTTAAAAGAAGTAACCTCCTTCACCTATCTAGGAAGTACTGTTTCAACTACAGGCAGCACAGGCACAGACGAGGATGTCAAAGTCAGAATCGGAAAAGCAAGACAGGCGTTCATTGACCTGAAACCAGTGTGGAGATCTTCTGCACTCAGCATGTGAACAAGATGTGGATTTTGCTTCTGTATGGTTCAGAGACTTGGCGCATTACGAAAGGGATTTCCAATAAACTACAGACATTCATCAACAACTGCTTACGCTCGCTACTGAAGGTCAGATGAATTACCAGAAAGAGCAAGCAACAAGGAGCTCTGGGAACGAACCAACCAAGAACCCATCACTGAAAAAATATGCACTGGAAGGAAGTGGAGATGGACTGGATTTGGCATACACTGAGAATGCCGACTGGGGACATCACGCGTTAGGCCAGGTCGTCGAGTGGATTCCCCATGGGAAGCTACGAGTTGGGCGTCGGTGCCGAGGGTGATATGGAGGAGATGGTGCGAGGTGGAAATGAGAGCTTGTGGGCTGTCACGGAGCAAGGTTCAAAAGATTTCAGAGAACAGAGTGGAGTGGAGACGTGCTACTGAAGCCCTATGTTCCATTAGGAACCCAAGGGACTAATAATAATGATAATAATAATAATTCATCATGGACTGACATCAGTCGGGGAACCACTGAAAATCTGGGGGTAGTGGACAGCTGTCTCGTCCTAGTAAGGGAATCCTCAGCAGTACGCACCCACGACTCGGCTAGGAATGGGACTCAGGACCTTCAGACTTCACGGTTAATGCGTTGACTATCCAGCCACTGGGTCGGTTTCCAGTGGTTCACAATTTCCGACCCCTGTCAATTCACGACATAGTGCAACTATCACCCAACCGACCCAGTGGCTGGATAGTCAACGCATTAACCGTGAAGTCTGAAGGTCCTGAGTCCCATTCCTAGCCGAGTCGTGGGTGCGTACTGCTGAGGATTCCCTTACTAGGACGAGACAGCTGTCCACTACCCCCAGATTTTCAGTGGTTCCCCGACTGATGTCAGTCCATGATAAATACTACTTCTAAATTATAATATTGATAGTTGATGACGTAAAGGTCGAATAAATAACAAATAGGGATTATGTAAGATTTTAAAATCGTTCGTAAAGGGAATATAGATTAAAAAGGGGTGAGAAAGTTAATAAAAAATCAAAGGATTATAGTGATGATGGGCAGTGGCTAGCAGTGGAATCCAGGATGCGCATTTTGTCCTATTTGGGACTCGTCAGCTGGATGTACCTGCCTCCCAGTGAGTGATGTTTTTCCCACCGGGACTCGGACTCGGGGAACAACATCGCTCACTGGGAGGCAGGTACATCCAGCTGACGAGTCCTAAATGGGACAAAATGCGCATCCTGGATTCCACTGCTAGCAATCACTATCCATTATTACTATACATAATTAAAACAGGCAATATCAAACCATACGCGTAGGAGCCCATATGCCAACAGAGACTGATCAATTCGGTCTAATCAATGACGGTGTCATAAAAGCAATAACACTTAATCAAAGGATTAGATAATATAAATGAGACAAGTTAATTGAAGTAAATGGAAAATGTTTTCTTAAAAGTTGCGATTATTAGGAAGATCAAATGAAATAACACCGGAAACAATAAATACAAAAAACAGAATGATAATGACGATATAAGAGTACAAAGATTAATCTGACCATAAAGGGGAAGGGAGTGAAAAACAAAAAAATGAGGACGAAGCCCACCATGACTAAAATAAATTAAGGCCAAGGTAGAGACAAAGACTGTACGTACTTCTTTTGCACACAAAGGTCAAGCTTCAGTTCATGGATAGCCAAGGCCTCTACTGTTTTTAGAAGCTGAATATGGAGGAAATGTGAGATGTTAAGGCGAATTCGATAGACAACCTTGAAATCCATGTTTGAATCAGTTGAATGGTTGGAAGTGATTAAATAGTTAAGGATAGAACTTGTTTTGATTATTAATTCATACAAAACTATACTTCTGACAAGTATTATGTTTTGAATTTTTACGTTTAACTCGGGCAGTTGATTTCTTTATTAAAGAATTGCTTGATTGTTTCGGTGTTTTCTGTTGAAGGATTTTCTTTGATTCAACTACCGAACTGTATACATCCAACAGTCTAGGAACTGTATTTTTGCATTAAAATGAAATATGGCACACCATATTAAAGAAAAAAAAGAAGTTACTTTAAACACCTCAATGGATTGTTCGTGTTTCATTGTAAATGGGGGTTGATTTTGTTTAGCATAAATTTGTCAAAAACAAAATTTATGAATTCAGAATGCCCGAGAAACAATAGTAAATAAGGGCTCAACTGAATGTCGTTTATATTCGTTTTATGTACCCATGTATGTGTGTGTATACATCAGCTATTGCATGTTCTGTAGAACAAGAATAAGGAATATGTAGGTGTTGACAAGTGGGATAAGATTTATTACATGTTTCTTTTTTTTCCCGTCTGTACACTAATTTATTATCATTGTAACCTCAATTGTAAACATATATATTCCTAAATGCCTGGCCACACATTAAAGTGAAAAATTTTTCAAATTAACACTGTGCTTTTTCCTTCTCTGTATTTGTATAAAACATCTATTGTCTAAACAGTGAACAACAAGAGACAATAATAAAATGAGGCATAAATTAAATGTAACACATTGGAAAATTTGTTTAATATTTTATACACTACTTATTATCTATATGATCAACTGTTCAACTATACCTAAAAACACAGAGTCAAATACTCAAGCATATATCAGAAATGGGATAGATGGCAGTAAAATGGAGATTGTCTGTATCCTAGATCATAATATCTATTGTAAAGAGCATCAAGTAGGATTTATGTAAGTCGGATAATGAAGTCAATTTGTTATTTATGTTTCTATGCATCACTGTACTCATTACACTTTATGTTTTCCAGTTAATTTGGTTTGAGACTAATGATTATTTTTGGGGAGATAAATAAGGTAAATCTATTAATATGATCACGTAGTGAAAGACTTATCGAGCATTTCTTGTGTAGTAGACAGGTTAGCATATATCGTATTCCGTTTGTCATCTTGTTTAAGCAGTACATACGCTAGTCATTCTTTATGACTAAAGTGATGGCTGATCTTCAACACGTGAAATAAACTTATTCTCATTTCTACCAATGAAAATAATAAAGGACTTCACATAAGAAGATTATTTCATACAACCTAACTGTTTGAAAGTAAACTAATTGAGTATTGTATTCGTCTATGAAAAATATGGAACGTTGTGAAGTGAGCCATTTATTGGAGAGTTACAAAAACACGTTAATCAATTCTACAGTCTCTTTGTGCGGAGTAATAAGGGAAAGTAAATGAGAAGAAACTATAGAAATTCGATAAATTCGATGCGATAAGTGCAGGTGACAAATATCGATCTTCGTCTATCGCTGAACATACTAGAAACTAACCATAGGATAGACATGAAAACAGCTTTTAAAGTACTACATAAAAGTGGTCAGAGCCGAGTGCTTAAATTTATTGAAGCTCTTGCCATCCATAAATTTAAACCCCCTTTATGTATACAAAAACAATTTGTACTCACGTTGAACCTACCTTGGTAGTATTGATTTTAATTTTCATACCAAGAATAAGGTTTTCCTTTTTCTTTTCTATCCCTCCCTATTCCTATGTTTCCCATTAACTTCATTGACTTTTTCGTAAATTTTCATATAAATAGTTCGACAAGTCCATGTGTGATCAGATTGTTCGAAATGTATAGAGTTAATACATCACGACATGTTTCAGATAATCTTCGTCTTCTCATTACGCTGTTTAAATTTATCAAAGGGACCAGTTGCTTTATAGAAATTCTATTTGTGGTTTCTCAGCTGAATAAATTAACAGTCATGAAAATACTTGGTGGTGAGGGTTGGAGTTGAGCCTCAAGTGTCAGTTAAAGTAGTTAGTCAGTTTATGAAGTTATGAGACCAAGAACCTAACCCTAACCGTCATTTGCAAAATATGCTTCATTTCTTCTCCTGCTTCTCTTTGTAGTTGTTCTTCATACGCCTCCGTTGTCTCTTGCGTTCCTCTTGACAGAAACCTTACCTGTTGCTGGTAATTCCCTATGACTTCTGCCACTCTCTCAACACATATAATACTTATATCCATTCTTATCAGCAACGTTCACTACAAATTCATTTCGGAGTACTCGTATTTTCTATGACTGGCTTAGAGATTAATCTGATGATTTCAGCTTCTGAAATCAAAGTAGTATCATGATAACCAAATGGTATATCATTAATCCTGGCATAAGGGAGAATAATTGTTTCCAGTTGAAAAATATGAAATGATAAGGTTAGTTTTGAAGATGATGATTTTCATCCTTTCATAAAATATGCTCATGATATAACTGTCAGACAGGAGGCGGCATTAACCGATATTCAACGGTTGTTCAAGGGTTGTTGACGCAGAATGCGAGTATTTAGAGAAATTTCTCGTGAAATTTATTATGTTAATGTCGTTTAGGTGTTATGTTACTGCTTGCAGTAAATTGAAACAACAAAAGTTATCGAAGCATTCGTCCAGGTGCCTGTATGCCAATAGAGACTGATAAATTCGATCGGAGTCTTAGGGTGAGAAACATCGCTGACTGGGATGCATTTACATCCAGCTGAAGAGCCTCAAATAGGAAGAAACGCGCATCTTGGATTCCAGTGTTACCTACCATCCATCGTTACTATAATGTTACCTAAAAGTGTTTGGTGGAGTTAAAATACCTTAGATTGGATTTTTTTGAGGGGGTTGTGGAGATTTAGAAATATTTCAAGTTGTTATTCATCGAAGACTGACATCAGTTGGAGGAACAAAGGAAACCTGGGAGCACTGACAACTGTTTCGTCCTAGTATGGGACTCTTCAGCAGTGCGCACCCACGACCCCACCAGCAGGCATCGAACCCGCGACCTTCAGGTTCCGCGGCCACGCGTTACCATTGAGCTAGCCACTGGGTCAGAATCCAATGCTCCATATTTCCAACTTCTATTAGCTCACGATATAGCGCAAACCGCCACCTAATGTCATCGTTGAGTATTTGTCCTCATGGCCATCAGGCTTTGACTCCACTGCTGAGGAGTCCCATACTAGGACGAAACAGCTGTCCAGTGCTCCCAGGTTTCCTTTGTCCTCCAACTGATGTCAGTCTTCGATGAATAACAACTTGAAATATTTCCAAATCTCCACAACCCCCTCAAAATTTAATTGAACTGGTGCTCATTGGTGACTAGCTTCGAGAAGTATTCCCGAAGTTCCAATGACAAGTCGTGACCGGTGGAGTCAAAGCCTGATGGCCATGAGGACAAATACTCAGCGATGACATTGGGTGGCGGTTTGCGCTATATCGTGAGCTAATAGAAGTTGGAAATATGGAGCATTGGATTCTGACCCAGTGGCTCAATGGTAACGCGCTGGTCGCGGAACCTGAAGGTCGCGGGTTCGATGCCTGCTGGTGGGGTCGTGGGTGCGCACTGCTGAGGAGTCCCATACTAGGACGAAACAGTTGTCCAGTGCTCCCAGGTTTCCTTTGTTCCTCCAACTGATGTCAGTCTTCGATAAATAACAACCTTAGATTGAGTTGATTACAGTCGATATTTACTCATAACTCTGATAATTATTTACAACATATGCACCAATGAAGATTTTCACAAGACTCCCAAGTGAATAGATTACAGAGCACAGAAGCGGTGATAATCTGACTGAGAGTGATACCACCTGTGTGTATTTGTATACCATAATGAAGGAGACCGTTGCTTGTAAGCAAAGAATGCAAACAAGATGAAATGAGTTAGATGGAATATAACTGGGAATTCATTGAGGTCATAACAATATGTGTAAAGTTTCACTTCATTTCATTATGACACATTGTTTTTTGAGTTAAAAATTGTTTCGGTTGTGTTACGTAATTGCCAATTGCAAAGCTGTTTGTCATGACTAGCTAATAAATCATTCATTCACATAGAAATCCTGATGGCTCAGTTCATATTGAAGTTAGTGATGACGATGCTGTCTAGGAAGATAATAAAGGTTTCCTGATTAAACAGTCCTTCTCAGAGAATATAACATAACCCACGACCATCGACATGAGTGACAAACAAACATTCTCTATCATTTCAAAGTTATTTTTACCCATATTAAATATCATTTAATTTCACACTACTAAGATTTATCCAGTAGATAAATTTAGGAACGTTTTTAGGCAATAATTATACGATGCATCCAACGAAGTCTTGATTTCTACAAAAGCATGAAGAGTGAACGTTACTTGTCGAATTCACTGTGGACCGAAGTAGACACAATTTGTGGTTTTGCTTAACTTACAATAAAAGGCTTGACGAAGATCATATCAAAGATTTTACTGCAAAAAAGTCTAGTAGCACTGCCTTCAGTTATGAGCTAAGTATTGAAATACTTTTATCATAGCCTCTTCTCTTTACTCATCGAAATACAAGATTTAACTAACAATGTGTTTACTTTTGATAAATGAAATATACTACTGAAAAGAGTAAGTAGTTGTAAATTTGCTGGCAAATTTCAGCAAACAAATCAAATAGCTGCCAAAATCAAATGGTTGTGTTGCTCATTTGAGACTTAGCTTATTTTCAGTTTATGTTATCAGGTTGTTTTTCGTAAATATGAATTAGTCAAAGCATTTGACTTTGGATAGCTGACTAGTGTGAGGAGTGGCACAGGACGTTCTAACTAAACGGAAACTGTACTGATGTCATAGCCCGATGGTTGATACACACACACGCACACACACACGTCTGTGGCTAATGTCAACTTGTATTGTGAATTTTACGAATAAACTGGTGAAATGCAGTCGGTATGTGTTATGGACAGCTGGCAGACAGCTTTAATCAAACATAATTCAAGTTGTTGCAGAAACCAAGTGTATTAGCTATTCACCTTCCTTCGTAATTCCGTTTCCAGGAGGAACAAATATCAAAATCATTATCTCAGCTTGGTAATCATCGCTAACTGATATCAGTTAAAGAGGTACTGGAAACCTGGAGGCATTGAACAGCTGTTTCTTCTCAGTATGGGACTCTCCAGTAGTGCACCTCCATCACCTCCTATGGGTCGAATTCGATATTCAAGTTCCGCGCCGGAATCCAAAGCTTCCGATTTTCCTACTTCTCTTAGCTCGTGATCATCATCCAATGCCTGTTTTCAAAACGAATTTCGTTTACCCCACAGGAGATGTTCCAATCTAAAGTGTGATGTTTATCAGGTTAGGATGTTGAAGTTGGGATGGAATACACACTATGTGACTTAATACAATCGAATTCCATATATATGTGTAACTACAGATTCATTTCTCGTTTCTGCGCACTCTGAGCAGTTTATTAGCAATCCTACTCATGGTAGTAATGATGGATAGTGGCTAGCAGTAGAATCCAGGATGCACATCTCGCCCTATTTGGGACTCGTCAGCTGGACGTACCTGCTTCCCAGTGATTGTCGCCCCCGGGATTGGACCCAGGAGCGATCGCTCCAAATGCCAGACCGTTATCTACTGGACCATTGAGCCACGATAGCCTCTTACCGTGCGATGGGTACAGTTTTTAGTATAAATGTTTTTATGTCCCGACTCGACTCCCAATGGGAAGCAGGTACATCCAGCTGACGAGTCCCAAATAGGAGGAAATGCGCATTCTAGATTGCACTGCTAGCCACTATCCATCATTACTACCATTAGAGCACCGGTAATATCAAAGCATCCGCACAGAATCCCATATCCCAATAGAGACGATCAATTCGGTCCAATCAACGACGGTATGATATGTAAACAGTTATACTGAATTCTACTTATAAACACAAACTCTGTCTTCATCACTATTCATTTTAAATAAATGAGGTAAATGATACTGACAACCTTTGATAAGGATGAACAAACAAACAAGTTTACATCTTGACGAGTTCCGACAAGGATTACACCTAAATTATGAGTTAATTGTTAGTTATCTACAATTCAGCTGTAATAAAATTCAATTATGTTTGTTTATTCATTGTATTTTAGATTTAATGACGGTTGCCGTCAATGTATTTGTAAAGTGGATGGAGCATACTGCAAAACTAAAACATGTGTTGAATATCAGAAAACTGATGAAAATCCTGAGGAATATTGCAGTAAAGTAGTTAGTGAGGTAATTCAAATTTACAATTTTTGTCATATTTATTTACCTCATCTATGTGCAATTGTCTATGAAAATGATGTAAAGTTGACTAATACTTTTCTACAGTTGATAGATGGGATCAGTGTCGACAAGTCCCAATCAATCAATTAATTACCCAATAAGAAACAAAAACAAGAAGGTTAAATTTCAGGTTATCAGGACAACCAATGAAAAAGATGCAGAGAATGACAAGACCTTGACAGAAACAGACAATCACACACAAGGTCATCAGGATAAGTTAGTAAATAAATTGAGCAGAAAACCTTATAGCTCACTTCTTCCCGAAGTTTAAGCTGATGATGTTGTCTAGAATGGCAACGATAGCTGGATGACTTATTCATCCAGCTCAGAGAACATAACACCATGAAAATTGATGATGTTCTCTTCATAGTGATTCAGTTGAACTACCTGTTCGATACACAGATTTGAGTCAGTAGCCAGCAAGTCTTCAATTCTGTCTAAATTCTCATCATATAACAAAATTTGTTAATCAAGTAGGGCGGACGTATCTCTGAAGGGAATATATGCACTTCTTACTCAGTTAACAAATGTAGCTGCGACAAGTTGATGTACTTCGGTTTCATCTTTCTTGATAATAGGCAGTCGTACTCAAAATTATACAACAACAATACAAATAATTGATTCCAAGACTATGTGTTCATGAAATCCCACCATGACTTCATTTGGAAACTAAAACTTATAGATCACAAATGATGATCTGCTTGAAACCAAGAATGATATGGAGAAGGAAAACAAAGCTGTATATCTTATACTACTTATTAACATAGATGTTTGATAACCTGCTTGGATTTCTGAAACGGGTTACTTTGACTACACCTGGTGATCTCATTCTCAAACTAGGGAAACATCCATCCAATATTTAGATAATACCCATCTGATCAGACGAGTTTTCAACTACCCATATCATTCAGGAGTGTATAAGGTAGAAAATTTTTCAAAATTTAGAAATCAAAGCAGATTAGTATACATAATCTCAATTCAACTAACAAATGAAACGAAGTATTGACCCTCGGGTTCTGTTGAATGGAAAACGCATCCTATGTGGTAGTACCTCAGTATGACCTCCACTGCTTCAAACCAATTATCCAAGTAGAACCCCTAATTCGAAATAGTCATAGAGAAACAGTCATTTAACTTCTTTGTGAAATTGTATCAGGGAAGGGAGTGAAACAACAAACTAAAGCCATAACTGACAAAACAACTGTTCAAGAAGGTTCATATGTAATTAGTGGAATTTACTTGGTTATTTCTTCAAAGTCTTCCACTGAATTTGACCATATTACAGTTTACGTCTTATTGTTTAACTAACTCGAAGAGAATAGTTCACACCATGTGATCGTTTCTGCAAGAATGGTGTCCTGTAGATTGGGGTTTTCAGTTTTAGAGTTGGTGATCAAGATACAGAAATGAGGAGAAAAGTAGTTGAAAGTGGCACAAAATTGTGCTAGTATAACAACGAGAAATGAGGGAAAAAGAAATTTGAGACGGAGACAATGTGTGGATGCATCTGTAACACTGAGATTGATTCTAAGCCCTATCACTTCAAGTTTCCAACCATCGGTTCCAACTGTCATGTAGACCCCCACCGAGACCGATAACCGGAGACTTCAGTGACTGGTGCCACATTTTACTTTGTCTACCTCTAACCCTTCCTAGCTGTGCTTGAACCTTCTCATGCTAATATTGTGTGTGCGTGTCTCAACCACCTGAGTCAATGAAATTCCACAACTTCATCAAGTGACTCCTATTTTCTACTCAAAGCTCCACTCCTGACTTCTATGTTACTGATTTTGTGCTGTGATCTCGGTACATCAATAGTTTGCAATGTCTACTTCAAGGGTCTATTTTACCTAGTTGTTCATTATTTCTTGGAAATCTGCCTTATGTATAGTCTCAGCGTATGATTTAACTTTCGTGTAAGATCAGTGTGAAGGGTGTTCACTAAATGACAGAAGAGTTTCAATGCAGCGCAATGAAAAGATAGTTTGATTGCATGATGGGCGTTTAAGATGTATCTGATACTAATTATCTCCTCGAACTGATGATAACTAAAAACATTCTTCCTGAAGTCTATTTGTCTCATACATTACCATTGGCATCTGAAGATCTGGATCATTGTTACAGGATTATCTTCCGTTCGATCAAATTATGTACGAGAAACTTCTGCTGTTTGTAGTACAACGTTGAATAAGTCTACTCTTCCTTAAGGATAATAATAACAATAATTATTATTTTTCCTTCGGTTCCTGGTGGAACATAGGGCTTCACTAGCACCTCAACATTTCACGCTGTTCTCTGCAGTCTGTTCAACCTCGCTCCAACACTGCCCACAAACTTTCATCTCTTCCTCACATCACATCCTCCATGTCACCCTCACCTCAACTCGGACGCCTAACTCATCGACCCCCCTTCAGATTCCACTCGACGGCCTGGCCTGACACATGATGTCCCTAACCAGTCTTCCTTCTCAATCTGTATCCAATTCAATCCAATCCAGTCCATCTCCACCTTCTTCTCCTACATATTTCTTGGGTGATACGTTCTTAGTTGTTTCCTTCCCAGAGTTCCTCGTTGCTATTCTTATTATTTCTGGTCATCTGATCCTCAGTATCGAGCCAGCGTAGGCAGCTGTTAATGTGATATATGTCTGTAGTTTGTTGGAAGTGCTTTTCGTGACGCGCCAAGTCTCTCAACCATCACATAGAAAGAAGCACTGACTTGATTGACGTTGGTGTTGAAAATCTGGATCTTGTTCGATGTGCTGAGTGCAGTCCAGTAGATCTGCACACTGATCATTTCAGTTTAGTGAAAGCCTGTCTTGGTTTTGCGATTCTGGCGTTGACATGCTTGTCTGTGACGCCGCCGGTAGTTGAAACGATGCTTCCTAGGTAGGTAGGTAGGTAGGTAGGTGTGTAGCTGTGTAAGTGTGTAGGTAGGTAGGTGTGTAGATAGGTAGGCGAGTGGGTAGGTAGGTGTGTAGGTGGGTGGGTGTGTAGGTAGGTAGGTAGGTAGGTAGCTGAAAGAGACTACTTCGTTTAGGTTTCTCCCGTTGATGATGATTGGTGCCTCTTGTTGTTGATGCTGTTGTTGGCTGGGTATCCTCATCACCTCTGTCTTCTCTATATTCACTTGAAGTCCTGTTTTCGCTGGCCTGCTTCGCCTCTTCTGTCAACTTGTTAGTTTTCGCCCATAGATCATTGAGTTTGTGCTACAAGACACTAGACATAAATCATCATCGTTGGAGAGATCCAAATCTTCTTGTTGGGTCTTTTCATCAGTCCAGTCAGTGTATGTCCATCTTCTCGCTCCTCACGGTGTGTAGAACGTTGAATAAGTCTATTCTTCCCTCGGGATAATAGTATCGCCTATAAAATCTAAATTTTAATCTTTCGATAGACTGTCTCCAACTGTCTATGTGGTAGTATAGTGAGATTTCAGGCCTATTGGTTTTTGAGACTTGGCCGATGAAATGACATGCTTGCAAACAGATGAGTAGTTTTCGTGATAAGTGAATTGACAAGTGGGACTTTGGTCATACATGGAGTACACATTAGGTTCCCAACTCGTCAATCTATTGTTCAAAATCTCATTCACCAATGGACATATTCTGGTACAATTTTCAATATTGACACTGTAACAGTTTCGTATCATGTTAGTGAAATTTCAGTTATCTTCAGTATGATAAAGTGTGAAGGAATAAAGCTACAATGTGCTTGTGAGATTTAGTTCTGGTTAGGAAACTTTGAAGTATCACTGTAGACAACAAGAACAGCAATATCCAAGAGAAAGTTAAAGAAGAAATGAAATTATTTGATCTGCCATTGAAGTTCACGACAGGCACATCCTCTAAAGCTATTGCAGCATGAATCAGCAGTGAATTCATTCACTGGCAATGAGCTGACTTGGCCAAAACTAATATTCGCTCGAGCTACTGAATTTGTTATCTCGTTTTATTTGGGTGATGACTGTGTCATCGGATGTTGGGAGTCGTTTATCTGGACCCTGTCGACCAAGGCTTTATGTTGTTTGACATTTAACCTACAAGGTATTGTTACGCACTTGAGAAAACACTCGTTTCACCTCACAGATGCTAAACTATATCACTGAATACTGTTACAGTCACAGCCTTCAATATTCAGCTATTGAGATCATGATTACCTGAATACTCACCATCCCACCTGGTGAAGGAATATCACGAGATGGAATTACTGTTAACTTGACTCAGTAGTGAATTATAAACATCTAGACCATAGTTGTTCTGACTATCCTGAAGGAAGTTGAACCCCGAGTTCGACTGAATCATTATAAGAGTATATTTTTATATAATCCCACAGTGTTTAGAAAATCAAAATAAGGTTTTTTCAAACGTTTTACTGCATGAGTTACACATTCTTCAGCGGAATATACGGATATTTATTACCATCAAAATAAAAGGTGAAATTTCCAGCGTAAAATATGTTTTAGTAGAAAATGGATATTAGAAGACGTTTCCAAACATCGTTGTCGATCAGATGAATAAAACAGCAATTAGAAGTAGTAATAAAGGCATAATAAAATCCTGACTAGTAACTGTGATCAGATTAGAAGTGTATGCACATTCCATGGTCTGTTGTCAACCTTCATATTCACTAGAATAGGTCTTATTGAAAGGGGGAAGATGGAATTCCTAAGATGGCACAGAATAATAGTATCCTTCAGATTAAAATTTTGAAATATGAGGTTAATTATATTGGAGAAATCTGTACACCCACAAGTTATTCACGATACATCTAATGAAGAATCAAGGTGAACTAAGAATAATCCAGAAAAGTGATGAGCAATAGCTATATATGCAATCGAAGATGGAAATATGATTCACTTTAATAATGTAGACACAATGGGAAAGCGTTTCCATTTGCTTAATCAGAGATTACCTACCCTCAGAAGTCCAGCAGCATCAAATGGTAAACATAAAAGAGAAGGAATAGGCTTGTCATCTACTTGGAAAACATTAATTCAATGAAACCATTTTAATTGAAGTTTTTCATAACAATGAGAATTATTGATCGTTCAATTTTGCGAGGATTTATTTATTGATTTAAAAAATTAGTATTCATCATGGACTGTTATCAGTTGGAGAAATGATGGAAACATCAGAGTCTTCAGGATTTCGCACCCATGACTCTGTTAGGGATCAAACCCACAACCTTCACGTTCCACCGTCAGCCCGTTACCTTTGATCCACTGTGTTGGAATTCAATGGTTCATACTTCCTTTCTTTTGTCATTGAATCTTACATTTGAGGTATATTAATCAGATATGTTTTTAACACCCTGCTTTGTCGCATATGCTAATTACTCAGCATATTTTTGTTAGATAGTGTAATCACTGTAGAAATTCTTTATTGATTCTTTTAAAATTTCAGAATGAAAATAATGCTACAAGACCTAATTTTGATGAGAAGGTATTGCTAGAAGCTGATTCTTACGAACATAAACCAGGGAATAAAACAGCTGATGACATTCAGTTGAATGATGAAAAGGAAGAGAAGGGGAAGAAGATGATCAGTGCCTCTTCACTGACATTTGGAAGTTTTGAAGATGCCTTTAGAATGATTCCTGAAGCAATAGCTGGCGCTATGGAAGAGGAGAAAGCTGCTGAAGCAAGCAACCAGTCACGAAACTCAACTCTTAATCTTCAAGATAAGAGGAATGGAGGTGACAGTGAAGAAAATAGTAATCCTGCTTTACGTTTTCAAAGTGAAGGAGACCGTATTAACTCAATGCTCCCTGATTCTTTCTCTAGTTTATTTGACCCTGAAGTAGATGATAATGGTGAAGAAAGTGAGGGAAGGGCAAATAATACTGAATCTGGTGAGTTATTTGATATATTAGAAGAGGATGCTCGATCAGATGCCACTCCTTCAAATGAGACAACTCAAAGTATCCCTACAGACAATATGTCGAAACGTCTGAATACCACTATGCCACCACAACACAATGAAGAAAGAAAAGTGAATCAGGAAGATGCGTCATCTGCCAAGATCTATAAGAATGGAAATGAAACCAGTGGAAATGACCTTGATGATACAGTTGACGTTCATCTGTATCATGATTCTGACTCTGATGTTCAACCAATAATAAAGAACAAAGTCGTATCTCTTACAGATACAGAAGATAAGAGTAATACAAGTCGGTCAAAACGAGACCTTAATAACTCAAAAAACAACACCACACACGAATCGAAAGCTACAGAAGATTCAGAGAAGAGCGATGAAGAAAAAATGGTGAAAAATGTTAAACCATTAATGAATGAGCTAAACGATGCAATAGACATAGGAAATATTGATTCAGTGGTGAATTTTGCTGAAGGTATTGTCGACAACAAATTATCAAAAGTAGTAATGGACAATGGAGATGAAAAGAACACCGCGATGGACAATAATAATAATAATAATAATAATAATAATAATAATAATAATAATAGTAATAATAGTGGTAATAATGCTACAAAAAGTCAACACAATAAAAGCAAAAGGTCACTAGAAGAAACTTCATTGGTGAATGGTGGAAAAGTTCAGTCGTCAGGTGGTAATAGTACTCAAAACTCAACTTCAAGAAAGGGGAACGATTCGTCTAAATCATCTAGTATAAATAACTCAAATGGTAATTCAGGAAAACATAGTGAATCTAGTGATTGGATATCCCGAGAAATTACGGTTCAAAGTAGAACAATCAAATTTCCTAATAAGGAAGCAATGAAACAAATGCATGAAATGTTTCCTAATCAAGGTATGCCAGTTCTTGAGGTTCAACAAAGAGATACACACAGTTTTGAAGATTCACTAACTGGTCAGCATGAACCTATGAAAAATCCTCTTAAACCGGTATCTTTCAACAGTGGTGAAACTGGAGTTGCAGTTACAGTTGAAGGTAAAGGTGATAGTGATTATAATGAACAAGTGTTATATAAACTCGATAATATGATGCGAAAGTTAATTGACTTAAAGCATTGTATAGAAACAATAAAAAAATCATGTAAACCACACAAAAAACAACACAGAAAAAAGAAACATAATAAACATCAAAAATCACTGAAATCAAAACATCTTGGTCCCTTAAAGCAACATAAATCGAATGAATTCAAAAGAAATATACTTTCACATTAATCTTCTCATTATTTCTAACATTGTATAATGAATGTACTTAATTTACTAGATACCAATTTGATTAATATGAATAATTAGAGACTGGTATTCTATACTATTTTTCTAAATTATTGTTGAATGTTAGAAATTAGGTGATGGAAACTAACACTCATCAGGTAAATTCAACAAAGTTATCACTTTAAATCGTTTAGAATGTTAATGACTAATTTTAGGGTTGAATTTTATCAAGATTTCTATAAGTGTTTAATTTACGAAGTAGATTCGATGATGATGATGATGATGATGATGGTGGTGAAATAATAGAAGGAGGCGGGGAGTGATGTGATGGTGTGGTGTGAGGGGCGTATATTCAGGGTGACTAATGTATGTTCATCAGTTTCTTCTGAATCTTCACTATACCATATAGCATTTAGTCTGAAAACATGAATATCTTAAGGTTAATCTTGAAGTAGTCAAGTATTTTCATGTTGATGACTCTTTAAACTGTCGTTCATCATTACTCGGCTGTACTTGAAGGCAAAGGATACATATCCTACAATGTAGGATGTTTGAGTGTATTTAGATGGATAATTGAAACTTCACATATTCTTATTGACATTGAAATATTTGAAGGTTCCAATGATAGTAGGAACTCCTGTATCAGTTGTTAAATGTTGTTTGAATGAATAAGGGTTCTGTGATCAATCTCTCCTACCACCTGGCTATTTTTGTTCGATTTTAGAATTGCCCCTCTATCCAACTCTCTGTTTAATGTGATTATGGGTCAGTGGATACAGAGCGATAACCGAGTTTTTTGCCAAATTACTTATCTTAGTAGGATTTACCATTGTGTTTATGGTGCCTAGACCAAGCTGGTGGCAACAGTCGTTCAAATCTCTGACTGTTGTTGGTTTGAGCTGTGTGGGGGAAAAGAATCAATGGCTGAAGACTGTTGGTGACATGTCTGGAAATTGGTCACTATGGTGCAGATGGATTCACCCGTCGATGTCTTCTGCAGCTTGAATATTCACACCAACCTTTTTCTTCACATTATTTATTCGCTCACACAACTTTGGCTGCTTTAAAATCAGTCTTTTTCTATGCTGACTGACAAAATAAACGTAGAACCTATCACAGGATTGTATCAGTTCTAGTTGCTAAACCTCACAGAATCATACAAAGAACAGATGGGTAGAAAAGGAGTGATATCAAAGTAGACAAAGTAGTGTGAAATAATAAATAGTTTGACGATAAACTCTAGTGGGAATATTCAAGCTTTAAAGGAAATCGAGGCGTGAATATATCTACGCCATTAGGACCGATTTTGAGATGTCACCAGCAGTCCTCAACCACCCATTCCTACCATCTCGAGGACCGCAACCAGCCAGTCTACATCTCCCCCATAGGACTCAAACCGGCATTCTGGGACTTCGTCAACTGGTACCAAGTTTTGCTACGGTCAACCTGAACTCTCTTCGAGTCTAATCCATCTTCTTATAACATCCTACATTGAGGCAGGAGGTGGTTCCCCATGCTCAACACATATCTAAGCCATCTCAGCTGATGAAGGTACACGCCCACATCTATTCACTTGCCTATCTTGCCTAGTACCCTTCGCCTGACCTCAACATTGTTCACATGGTAGTTCAACCAAACCCCAGCTATGCTACGAAGATACCTGTGGTCAGGAACATGTACCTGCTTCATCTCTTCTACTTTTAACAGCAATGTCTCACAGTAGCATAACAAGACAGAACAGACTGCGGTGTAGTATACTTGTCCTTTTATAGACAATCGAATATCTCACCAATTCTACAGGCGAATGCCAAATTGCCTTTCAGTATGCGAGCCAGGAGTTTGTCAACAACCAACAAGTTCTAGCTGATGCAACTCCTGAAGCAAGTGAAGTGGTCAACACAGCCCACCACTTCACTTCTAATCATTAAGCAGGGATTACATTGAGAAGACCAGTCCTGCAGCATCATTTTACATATCCTGACCAATGCCAGTCAGATATGTGTCAAACATACCCAGATTTCTGCTCAATGTGTTCAGAAGACTTTGTATTTTGTTATCATTGTCAGTCAACAGGACGAAACTTGTCAATTACCCATGGAAAGTCAAACCAGGTTTCATGTAAATATTTCGCTTTAGGCATCTGAAAATGAAATAAAATCCAGTGAAGAAAATCATCTTTTCTAAGATATCATTTCCCAGAGTTGTACAATCCTATTTACATGTATCACTAACATGTAACAGTCTATTACTAAACAATAGGTTATAAATGGATCATTAGGCCAGCTAATTTTAAAACCAAAACCAAGGCCGGTAAGGAGTTACGTAATAATCCTGTAGATGTTAAAGGCCATAACTGAGTGAGTATCCACTTGATAGGCAGATGTAAAGAAAGTGAAGAAAGAAACGAGAGTGATAATAGTCAACTAACTAACTACAACGAAATTAAAAAACGGAAAGAAGGAAAATGTATAAGTGTTTAGACGGTGGTAAGATGAGAGATTGAACATGCTTCTCCTACATTGCATAGATTACCCTTGAATTGATGAACCTTAGATAAACAAGAACTATGCTTTGATCACAGTAGCATGATATCATTTCTTCTCCTTAGATTCTCTTCTCCTTTGAAAAATTTATGAAATTTATTATGAGATTACAATAAAAGTTAAAGATCATTGGATATGCTTACAAGAAGTTGATAAGTGAATAAATTTATCATTCTATCACAAATACTTCATTTCGATGCTGTATCAATTATAAGGATGAGAAAGGTGAATAAATAATTGGGAAAATGACATGCAAAATCAAATTTGCAAAAAGATTGTCGATGTTCCTTCCTTTCAAATCAGTTGTGGCTAGAACTTTTAAAGTACAAAAAGTATCTGAATGGCGTGTAGTCTTATACTTGTTTGAGTGAAGTTTATCTGCTGAAAATCACATGTCCTCGATTGTTATGAGCTTCCTTGATTTGATCACAGGATTCGATAAAGTTTCTAAAACTAACCTATCATTGTTATGAAAGATCAATAAGCAATGCATGCGTACAGTGTGTTCACTTCGTCGGCTATAAATTTACGTAAAATATTAAGCCGCATCATCCTGGAGAGGCTTAAAGATGCACTGGATTCAAAACTACGACCGGAACAGGCAGGCTGGCTTCAGGAAGTACAAATCATGTGCAGACCAAATTGCAACGCTTCGTATCATCATAGAACAGAGCATAGAATGGCAATCAGCTCTCTACCTCAACTTCATCGACTTTGAGAAGGCCTTTGACAGCGTCGACCGAGAAGTAATTTGGAAACTGCTTCAATACTACGGAGTACCGCAAACCTTTATCAACCTCATTCAACAACTATATGAAGATGCTACATGCCAAGTAATCCACAATGGGAAGCTCAGTGATGCCTTTGAAGTGAAGACAGGAGTGAAACAAGGTTGCCTACCATGCCCCATGATATTCTTGATTGTGGTGAACTGGATCATGCAGCAAACAGTAGGCAGCAAGAAGAGGGGGATACACTGGACGACGGAAAAGAACCTAGAAGACTTGGATTTCGCCAGTGATGACTTGTGTCTGATGTCACACAAACTTGAAGATCTACAGGCAAAAACTAACAAGTTGGCAGAAGAGGGAGGGCAGCGAAGACGGGACTTCAGGTGAATATAGAGAAGACAGAAGTGATGAAGATACCGCACCACCACCATCAACAACAACAACAAACTCCAATCACCATCAACGGGAGAAACTTGAAGAAGTAACCTCCTTCACTTATCTAGGAAGCACTGTTTCAACTACAGGCGGGACGGACGAGGACGTCAAAGTCAGAATCGGAAAAGCAAGACAGGCCTTCATTAGCCTGAAACCAGTGTGGAGATCTTCTGCACTCAGCATGCGGAACAAGATACGGATTTTCAACACCAACGTCAGTCAAGCCAGTGCTCTTGTATGGCTCAGAGACTTGGCGCGTCACGAGAGGCATTTCCAATAAACTACAGACATTCATCAACAACTGCTTACGCTCGCTGCTGAAGATCAGATGGCCAGAAAGAATAAGCAACAAGGAACTCTGGGAACGAACCAACCAAGAACCTATCACGCAACAAATATGCAGGAAGAAGTGGAGGTGGATTGGCCATGCACTGAGAAGGCCGACTGAGGACATCACGCGTCAGGCCAGTTGCTCGAGTGGAATCCCCATGGGAAGCGACGAGTTGGACGTCCGAGGGTGACATGGAGGAGGTCGTGCGAGGAGGAAATGAGAGCTTCTGGGCTGTCGTGGAGCCAGGTTCAAAAGATCTCAGAGAACAGAGGTCACTGGAGGCGTGCTACTGAAGCCCTATGTTCCACTAGGAACCCAAGGGACTAATAATATAATAATAATAATAATAGAAATGAATTACAATCTTCTTTTAAGCTGATCATTTTGAAGTTGGTATTCATCATGGGCACACATCAGTTGAACAGACACTGCTCAGCAGTGCGCATTCTGGACCTTAAGGTTCCGCAGGCAGCACGTCACTATAGAACCACTGGGTAGAGATCCGATGGTCCATATTTTCTACTTCTGTCAGTTAACGATATAGCGCAACCATCACTCAGTGTCATCGTTGAGTATTTATTCTAATGTTTAACTTAATTTGCCCTACTGATCGCTACTTCCCACTGGGACTTCAGGAATCCCTTCTCGAAACCAGTCACCAATGGGCACTAGTAGTAAATTTTACTGAATAACTCCTGTAGCTAACTATCAAATATAATGGGGCGAAATGTATGAAACTGCAATAGTATAGCAGTAGAGAATAAAGCCATTCAGACAGATATCTTGACTATACTTCTTATTTACACAGAAATGAAATAAAGAACACAACCTAATCAACCAATCAGTGAACAAAAAAAACCTTATTTATTGATACTTGTAATTTCTTGCTGCTACACTCGATCAAATTGATCGATCTGTGTCAACAAATGGCTTTCTATTCAGATGCCTGAATACTCATTATGTTCTAGTTGACTTAGTGGCTATTGGTGGAATTCATGACGCACAATTCCTCTTGTTTGGAACTCATCCGCTGAATGTACCTGCATGTCGGTTAG